ACAAAATTGAGTTTTGTGGTACAGGATTGACAGAATTGAGTTTTGTTAGACAAAATTGAGCCCTGTCCTGCATGGCGCCCCGTAGTATGTGTATTGTAACGAACGGCTTTATGGGAAAAATCAGCTGCCACAGAAGGCGCAAGCAAACGCAGATTGAAACATGAACAACATCAAGCACATACACACGCACGCACGCACAGACACACACACACACACACACACACACACACACACACACCGACATTATAAATTTATAAACGTACATGATATAGACGTTGGCATCCACTGAGAACTACCCGAATGCGCAATATACCCACTGAAATTCGTAGAAAGCTGAGCTGAAGCAACAGTATTGCTCCTTGAAATCCAACAAAGATGGCAGAATAAGTGCATTGAATCGAATCACATGCACTACTCATACGTGTATTCGGGTATGTCAACATAACATAATCTACATGATCCAAGTCCATTTATTTGACGGTGGCGCCGCCGCCTGAAATATAAACTTGATAAGGAAGTAAGACTACTGTCATTAACGGACATAGACGTACTTGGGCGATCTGATTACGTTTCAGTTACGTTAGTACAGTACGTCACTATGGCGCGCGGGCATGTGCGTGCGCGTGCGCCTATGTGTGCGCGCGTGCACGCGTCCGTGCGTGAGTGCGTGCGCGCGTCGATGCGTGTGTGCGCAGGAGTGCGTAGATGCATTCGGTAAAGTTTCATGTTCCGTGATTCCCTCGGGCAACGTGTCCGCGCCCTATCCCTGTGCATTAGTAGAGCAAGGGACCCAGTGTTGAAGTAGCGAGAGCGTGAGTTGCGATGCGCACCCACTGTAGGCATACCACACTCCTTTGGAAATGCTTGCCGTCGACACTACGTACCTGTCAGAGCAGTGCCGCCACATTGAAGTAGCTATAGGGAGAAATTATCGATGCTCACCTAGTGTAGGCATGCTACACTCCAGCTTAAATGCGCCACACTCCTTTTTTAAGAAATAGGAAGTAGACCTTGCATGTAAGATCACCGCTGGATATACCAGTCAGTATAGGCAATCTGTGTATGTTGGTGTGTTAGCGCATGAGCAATATCTTACCAAGGTAGTGTAATATTTTGCAAAAATTATGCATTTAAAACGAAGAGGAGTTATCGTAGCATAGATTTACATGATAACATTTCATCAGTAGACCTGACTTAAGACATAGGAGGAAGACCTTGCATGTAAGGTCCCGCTTAATATACCAGTCAGTACACAATCTGGCTGCGTTAGTGTGCTAGCGCATGCGCAATATCTCACGAGAGGTGTTGTATTTTGAGATGAATATGTATTTAATATGGTTAGGGGGTATCTCAGCCTCGATTTATGTAATAAATTATTAGCAGTAGACCTGTGTTCATGATTAGGAGAGCGCCCTAGCCTGTAGGGTGAAAACCCCTACTTTATTCGTTGACGTCTTTCACATTGCATATATATTGTCCCTCGCTCAGCCGCCTTCTTTTTTTACCGCCTTCAGCTATATTCCCTGCCGCCTGTCCTTAGTCTCCCACCTCCTCTCTCCCTTAGTAAGATATATCATGTGATCTTCTTCTGTACGTACTGCACGCCTGAAACGGTGCTCGCGCATGCGCAATATCTCCCGAGAATAATAATATTTTACAACAATTATGCATTTAAAATAAAGAGGAGTCATTCAGGTACAGATTTATGTAATAATATTCTATCAGTAGTCCTTTCTTAAGTAATAACAAGAAGACTTTGCATGTAAGGTCCCTGCTGTATATGCCAGTCAGTACACAATCTGGCTGCGTTAGTGTGTTAGCGCATGCGCAATATCTCACGAGAGGAGTTATATTTTGTGATTAATATGCATTTAATATGGTTAGGGGGTATCTCAGCCTAGATTTATGTAATAAATTATTAGCAGTAGACCTGTGTTCATGATTAGGAGAGCGCCCTAGCCTGTAGGGTGAAAACCCCTACTTTATTCGTTGCCGTCTTTCACATTGCATTATATATTGTCACTTGCTCAGTTTTTTCTTAGTTTACCGTCTTCAGCTATATTCCCTGCCGCCTGTCCTTAGTCTCTAACCTCTTCTCTCCTTCACTAAGCTATATAATGTAGTTGTCTTTAGTCTTCACTGCACGCCTGAAACGGTGCTCGAGCATGGGCAATATCTTTCGAGAATATTAATATTTTGCAACAATTATGCATTTAAAATAAAGAATAGTCATCCTAGCACAGATTCATATGATAAGATTTTCTCAGTAGACCTTTCTTAAGTAATAACAAGAAGACTTTGCATGTAAGGTCCCTGCTGTATATGCCAGTCAGTACACAATCTGGCTGCGTTAGTGTGTTAGCGCATGCGCAATATCTTACGAGAGGAGTTATATTTTGTGGTAAATATGCATTTAATATGGTTAGGGGGTATCTCAGCCTAGATTTATGTATTAAACTATTATCAGTAGACCTGTGTTCATGATTAGGAGAGCGCCCTAGCCTGTAGGGTGAAAACCCCTACTTTATTCATTGCCGTCTTTCACATTGCATATATATTGTCCCTCGCTCAGCCGCCTTCTTTTTTACCGCCTTCAGCTATATTCCTTGCCGCCTGTCCTTAGTCTCCAACCTCCTCTCTCCCTCAGTAAGCTATATAATGCAGTTGTCTTTAGTCTTCACTGCACGCCTAAAACGGTGCTCGAGCATGGGCAATATCTTTCGAGAATTATAATATTTTGCAACAATTATGCATTTAAAATAAAGAATAGTCATCCTAGCCCAGATTCATATGATAAGATTCTCTTAGTAGACCTTTCTTAAGTAATAACAAGAAGACTTTGCATGTAAGGTCCCTGCTGTATATGCCAGTAAGTACACAATCTGGCTGCTTTAGTGTGTTAGCGCATGCGCAATTTCTTACGAGAGGAGTTATATTTTGTGATAAATATGCATTTAATATGGTTAGGGGGTATCTCAACCTAGATTTATGTAATAAATTATTGTCAGTAGACCTGTGTTCATTATTAGGAGAGCGCCCTAGCCTGTAGGTTGCAAAACTTCTACTTCATTCGTTCCCGTCCTTCTTATTGCAAATATATTGTCAATCGCTCAGCCTTCTTCTTCTTTTACCGCCTTCAGCTATCTTCCCTGCCACCTGCCCTTAGTCTCCCACCACCTCTCTCCCTCAGTAAACTATATTATGCAGTTTTTTCTTGAGTCCACACTGCACGCCTGAAACGGTGCTTGCGCATGCGCAATATCTCCCGAGAATAATAATGTTTTCTAACAATTATGCATTTAATGTGAAGAGGAGTTATCCTAGCACAGATTTCTATGATAACATTCTATCAGTAGACCGCTCTTAAGAAATAGGAAGAAGACCTTGCATGTAAGGTCCCCGCTTAATATACCAGCCAGTATAGTGACGTTACGTTAGTGTGTTAGCGCATGCGCAATATCTCACGAGAGAGGTTAGGGGGTATCTCAGCATAGATTTTTGAAATAAATTATTATAAGTAGATCGACCTGTGTTAATAATTAGCTAGGAGAGCGCCCTAGCCTGTAGGTGCAAAACTCCCACTTCATCCCCTCCCGTCATACCCCTTGACTCCCTTATTCCTCACTCAGTCTTTTTTGCAAAGATCATGCATTTAAAATGAAGAGGACATATCCTAGCATAGATTTATGTGACAACATTCCATCAGTAGACCTCACTTAAGACATAGTCATAGGAAGACGATCTTGCATGCGAGTAGTAGCACGCCTGTCAGCAGCCTTTCATAAGGTAGTGTCACATAGTTATAGCGAGAAAACACAGCCTATATCTGCATCCACTAGTAGAAGGCTTTGCTGTTATTTTCTTTGACATACGTTGAGTTACAAAAGAAAGTGGGGAAAGTGATTGTTTTTACATACGTCGTCGGTATATTATATTGCCTGACAACTAACAATGTATCGATGTTACAATGTTATTGATGTAATGTATGCTTTGTTAATTATCGAAATAAATAAATATAAAAAAAAAATAAAAAAAGCTTTTTTTTATCCACCTAGAGGTGGCGTGTAAATCGCTACACACCTGTCCCGGTTTTATAAATGTAACAACATTGTAACCTAAGTGTGTAAATGTACGAATACGATGTCATTAAAAGACGTGCTAAAGAATATATTCTCATTCGTGGATATCCTGCAAAGATCGAGAACAGACGCCGTTGTCTCATGGGACTCACAAGCGATTGACGACGCATTTTGCTGGGCAAAATATTGCGAACAGGTATACACAGTAACACACCATGCCATGCCGCATGCATGATGCGGACCACAGCACAGGCACTTGGGCCGTTTCACTAATAAAATGATGGTTAATAAATACAACTTGTCAGTACTACTACTAGACCTACCAGTACCAGTAATAGTCAATGTTTGATTTGACCTAATAACTTCACTTCAATACCGTCCAATACACCGCTGCAACACATAGCGCGCACGCCATATTGCGCACAAGTACACAGTAATAATAGAGTCTAAGACTAAGAGTTTATTAATACTAATAATAACTCTATACAGGCCCGTAGCCAGCTTCATATTCGAGGGTGTGGGAGGGGGGGTATCCCCCCTCCCACACGATGGAGATTTTGCAATTATTACACTAAAATGGAGCGATCTGGTGCATACTTGAGGTGAAATTCTTGCAAATTTTCAAATGGAAAATTTGCTTTGCTTGGTGGTGGGT